TCGATATAGAGCCAATTTTTGATATCATTTTAAAAAAATCAAACATTAAGCCTACCTTCTCCATTTGAAAGAATATCCTAACATTTCCAATGGAAATGATTTTAAACGTTGACAAAATTTCGGTTTTTGCATACTTATATACGTTTTTGACAGAGTTAATTGAATGTCAGTTTAGATTAACTGAACCCCATGCTCGTCGAAAATGATAAATTAAAAATACTTTTTGATAAATACATATTAATTAATTTGTAGACAGTGGTCTATGTTAATTCTATATCAATGTATTGTATGGTCTATATTGGTTGTAGATGAAGGAAGTAAGTGATTGTAAATGACTGTACATAGTTATAGTGGTCTACAATGATTTTCGGTAATGGTTAGTAATGATAGAAAGTGGTAAATGGGTCTATATTGGTTGTAAATAGTGTTAAATTGGTCTATAGTGGTTGTAAATAAAGGTAGTTAGTGATTGTAGATGATTGTAAAGTGATTTTTATTGATTGTAGTCAGTCATTGTACATGATTATAAAGTGTTACATATCAATAAGGTAATGTAAATGATTGTAGATAAAGGTTAGTGATTGTAGATAAAGGTAAGTGACTGTAGAAGGTGGTAAAAGAATGTTGACAAGGGCAAAAATATTATAGGTAAAGGCAAGTAATTATAAAGGCATGTGATTGTAGATAAAGATAATTAATTGCTATTTGTAAATTAATGTTATTAATTGTAGATAAAAGTATTTGATTGTAGATGGAGGTGAAGTGGTGTATATGATATCGGCAAGTGGCCTCGTTTTCCGTCCCATTCGATTGACAAAAGTCTTTATCCATATAGGCTCATAACCTTAATTTAGGTTACTTATTGGCGTCGAAGACTTTTTGTGCGCAGCAAAATTTTTCGCAACATTCTCGAAGCCCTCTCCAAGGAAGCAGGTACCGTCTAAGGGAATCAATGGTTAGCTATGCTGTCAGTAAGCGGTGGCAGGTTTCTTCGGGAAATGGTACAAATGTATAGAGAAATATACATTATTTATACAAAATTACTATAACAAGAAATGCCAACAAATAAATAATATCAATAACAATAAAGGTATTACTACTGTCGAAGACAATGCTAAATAAACGTAAAGTCGTTGTCTTTGTCTTGTTTGTTTACGTTTTGAACACTGAATTTCCCAATCTTTCACCATTTCCATACAGTCTTCGTACATGAACATGATCATTCGCCATCTTTCTTGTAGACCGTCTATAGAGTTTCGGAAATGTTTCTCTGATGTAACTCTCTCACATATCTTATCATATTCATCTGGGTAGATTCCAAACTGTATCTCCTTTACTTTGTCATCTCTCGATATCTTTCTCTGAAATTATAACAGCATTGGTGGGTAAAGTATACCAACGGTTCCGTTGAATTCATATCATATATGGTTTTCTTTATTGAATGCCGGTCTCCTATATATAACTAGTTATCACTCCGATTCAACAAGATGATGCGATCATCCAAACGTTCTCGAAGTCAAAGATGGAATTAAACTTTCTTCGTTTTTTTTTAAATTATTCTCTGAAGATATTTACCATTTAATTAAAAGTACCGGATATTAGAGCATGTTGTATTTCTACTTTAATCTTACTTGAGACAGTGCTGTAGGCTCTAAATGGTAACTTCCTGACATTAACTTTCAGTAGGAAATAAAACTAAATTCTCTCTGTTTATAATCGGAGCAGCGGCTCAACTACCGTGTACTACCGATAAACCAAGTCCATGGGTCTCATCCACCCACCACCCCTAAAAGATTAATACACAGCCTTTTCTGTGGTCCTACCGAGGGCAATATTATGTACTTCAGGCAGAAAATCTTTCATTATCAGGCAGTAAAACAGGGGGTTATTAGAATGCAGGAAACCATATTTATGTTAACAAACATTCTCAGTGAGATACCCCAACCACTTACATCCACTGGTACCCACTCATCTATAGTTAAGCCACTGGATCAGAGCAGAGTATTATAGACTGCAACATAACTAATCCGACACTTACTGACTTTGTTCAGCTAGGTATTAACTAATCAGTTTTGGACTAACCGAATTTTAAGCTGGAATAATTCAATATTCACTGTAGGAAATGTAATGTATGGACCTAATGCAATTGGAGAGTATGGAAAAATGAAATGAAATGAATGGAGTTTTACGTCCTACTTTTCTGCACCATATGGGCTAATGAAGACGGGCAACGCCATGCAGGGTGCGATGAGGGGAATTTTGCCAGGACAGCGGCATTAGCCTGCTCTTTTTCGATTTCCAACTGTCGAGGGATCTTTAACGTGCACAGCCTGTAGCACACGGGGCCTCGGTTTATTGTCCCATCCGAACGACTAGACGCTTTTTCCATGTCAGCCCCCCTTACCTGCATCACTGACAGGGGGAAACCGGGTTGAAAAATCCGAAGGTATTATCTTGACCTATGCCGGGATTGAACCCTGGACCTTCAGGTAAGCGAGCAAGCGTCTAACTCACTGAGCCACCGCGGCTCCCGGAGAGTATGGAACATGTTACAAAGGAATAAATCATCCAGAAAGAAAACGACTGGCATTTATTTTAAAATCTGAAAACCATGAGGTTTAATGTATTTTCAAGTTTTATTGTAGTTTTTACTGTCATTGCCGTTTCTTATTATGAATTTTTATTTGTGACCGCAATTAACCAGGAAAATTAATCAAAATAGATTGTCGGTTAAGTGCAAATTTACTTGTATTTAGCCACCCTATGACTTGCAAAATAGACAAAAGATCCACGAGGGTAGAGATGCGGAAATTAAAACTCAACTGCTAATATAAGAGCAATTAAAAAGATTTTAATAATTGCTACGGGAGTTTATTCAAAATTTCAAGACATTAATTTTCATCGGGCGTTATCATGTAATACAAATGATTCCCCTCGGAGTAATAGGAAGCGCATATCTTTGCCTTCAAAATGCCGCATGTAAGTCATTTATGAGTCTCAATCAATATCAGATAAGTGATTTAGGCCAGCGTAATGCATCATGCAAAGTCAAATTAATTAACTCTTTCTATCCTAAAAATAAACATTCTGATTGATAACCTGTCATGTCTTGCTTAAAACAAATCAGATAATTTGTGTGTGACAAGGGTTAAAGAGGCCATGTCTACTTCATGATAGAATGTATACAGTGAATTGGAAATCCATTTATTTTTATTCAATATTTTGCTATCAATATTCTGATTCTTTACTTTTGTTTAAGCGACATTTCGAGACTACGGCTATTTTACGGGGTAGAGGGTATCGCGGATGGGACGGGTCATGCTTAAGATCCTTATTGTTAACGGTGTATAAACATAAAACTATATAGTACAACTTAGCATATTCACATTGGGCTAAATTTTAATAGATCGGAATGTTAGATATTTATGTCTACACGATTTATGTGAACACGATAAAGGCAACTTACACGAATGCTCCTCTTTCTGACGACACCATGTTCTGGTATCGGTGTCAGATACTTGTTGTCTGTCTCAGCCATAAATTATCAACAGGTACTCAGTATCAAACTTATCCTCAGTAACTATGCTTCTTTATCATAATGGGTACAGAATATGATAGCTGAGGCGTGGTCTCTACAATCACTAAGACCAACACTGTCGAATGTTTGATCGAATGATGTTCACCAATACGGTTCCACTTTCTCAGCACTATCATGCAGCTTTTCAGAATTCCCTGACAAAGTTCCTTAAGTTTCGAAAAATGAATTCATATCAACACAAATACTCGATGAAAAGTCCAAATGTTCACATTCTTCAAGTAAAATTTGATACCGAGACGTGGTTTGAACAGAGTGTCGAATGTTTGATAGATGTTTACATCAATGTAGCCAATACCATTCCACTTCCTCAGAACTTTCATGCAACTCTTCAGAATTTCTTTCCAAAGTTTCCTAAAGTTTGAAAAAGGGAATTCCTATCAACACAAATTACTTGTTGAATATTTCAAATGTTCACATTCTTCACATATAAGTTATTGGTCGGTTCGGGACTAGCTTTCTCAGCAGGGATTCCAACAAACTTTCTAACTTTCGTCAAACCATAAATAAGACCAGATAAACTACACGCGTGCTAAACGATATATGATATACCTGTTTATTGTATCAATGCAATACTTTGCCCTTCTGCCTACTGTCTAAAGTAGTATTCCCCAATTCTATTTCCTGTTATGCGAATTATATATTTTGAACAAATCTTTTAAGTTTTGCTATTGCTCGAGATGCTTAGGCTAAGAAGTCAAATTATAGCTTCTTATGTCCTTGTTAAGTTGGTCAGTCGGCAAAACTATCAAACCGTTAGTTTATTAACTCTACTTAATGGTCTTCACGCTGATTTGGCACGGTTTGTTGAATGTTATAATCGGCATAGGTTAACAGAAAAATTATTTCATACAAGTATCGGTTACATAGATCAGATATAGGTAGAAAAGATCATGTGTCATGATAATGATCATATGATCCTTATTACACATCGATAGCGACTAGGATATCAATGGTAGATATGGCAAAACTTCTTGTTTTCTTTACAACAATACTTTTATACATGTGTATAGCGGACAAAAAGCCTGACAAGAGGGGAAAAGGTGGGGGAGAATTATACTACTACTCAGTTATTAAAATGACATATTTATCTGAAGTTTTTATTTTATCATAATGATAGAGCGTAACTCTATCTATCCGCACTACTTTTCAGAAGTAAAGTTCGACGCCCAGTTTCCCGACAATTAAATGAAAAAAGACTTTTGTGGAAATTCAGACGGCCGTCACTCTCAAAATGCGTTTCTATTGAATTACAAAAGATGACTTTAATTGATGACGGCATAACTAGCCACATCCTGGCAATTTTTTTGCAAAACCAAAGATACACATAGTATCTATGGTCGTTCACAAAACTCGTCCAAAATTATAACCAAGACAAGATGTTCGGGACTAAATAAAACATGAAATCATCTGTTACTGTTTTTATTCTATAAAATCATCTGTATTTATAGGAGACTTTTTTATTTTGACTTCGTTTACTCTGAAAGTAAAAAATGAAAAGACAAAATAAAGAAATTGTTTATGTCCGTTAGTGGGAAGGTTCTACAACAAAGATAGCCTCGTAGCAGCAAAAAACAACGGATTGTATATAAACTAAGCGCTTGAAGTAAACGCTTTGTTACAACGAACCCTTTTAGGAGCTGATCTATCGGAGGTCTTTCATGTATCTGTCTTCGATTGATGATGGCTTTTGTATTCCAAACAACTAAGGGTTCAAATTAAACCCCATTTTACTGGAACTAGACCAAGTTCAATCAGTGATCTGATAAAATATTACCCGTCTAGTTATGCCCTTTTCCTCTTTACTGTAAGCAGCTAGTCTCTCTTTTCGTCTTTCCTTCTCAAGCTTTTGGCGTCTTTCTCGGTAAGCTATGGATTCTTCCTCCGTCATTCGTTTAGCATGTCGACCTTTCCTTCGCTTAATATAAATAGGTACGTCTGGTGGTTCCTGTTGACAGAAATTGTAAAGAGCTGCTAAGTACTGAGTTGACATATCAAGTCATGGATTAGAATCAGGTGATCTGGAATTATTTTTTCAACAGCAGGCGTCGAACGGGAAGTCAGAATGACGCTAAAAGAAGCTATAAGAGTTCCCGAAAACCAAAAACCGCCTGGAAAACATCTTTTGAATGGGGTGTAGGCCTACTGTTTACCTGAGGTTTGGGTATATTTTCTGTACTGGAATTCTCTGTATCTTCTGTGATGTTCAGAACATAATCTACTATATTATTATCATTGATTTCTTCATTGTTTTCCTTTATTTTGATATCTATATACTCTACATCTTTACTGTCGTCTTCTGAAATATTGAATGGTTGATTGAGTGAATGAATTTATAAATGAATGTATGGTTGAATGATTGAGACTACGAGTATATGAATTCTGATTCTATGATATAAACAAAGTGAGTACCAGCGTCGAGGTGTGAATATATCAATGGTGTAGGGGAGGTAACTACAGTTTACTATCGGACCACAGCAAACTTGCAAAGGCTATGTAATGTCTATTTTATAGATCTCGGAATATATTTCATGTTTTACTATACAATAAATAATGTACATTAAAAACGTTAAACACAAACCTATAAGTTGTAATATATCTGGTCCAATGGCACCATCTGAAGGTCTCGCCAGTGATTTTAAAGAGCTAAATATCATTGGAGTTGGTATAACAAAACTGTCATAATTCGACTTCCTTTAAAATTTAGATAAAAAAAAAACATCTTTTAATATCAGATACCTTAATCTGCCTCTACCCGTTCCTCGAACTTGCTATACGATTGGGAAAACCACATCTTTGCCATATTACTTAGCAAAATCTTGGCTAGATCTTACCATTAAGCTTACACATATCTATTTATCATTTAGTATAATACTATCAAAACTGTATAATTTATTGTAGCTGCAAACAACATTGCCAAAGGACCGCCAGGTGCGACAAAAAAACTACGTCAACATCGTAATTATGACATGTAGATTAAAAAAGTGACTTACACAGATCTCAAAGAGGGACATGGCGATGTAAAGGAAGAAACTTCAAAACCTTTCAACAGTGCTGGTGTACTTGGTATATTCAAATAGCTAGACACATTTGGTGTACGGAGCAGCTGAGGGGGTACTTTAAAAATTGAACTGTGAAATTGTGGTGTTCTAAACATTTGTAGTTTTGTACTTTGTGGTGGTGGGGTAGTAATTTTGCTCCAGTTAAACATGGCAGAATGACCACTTGCATGATGGCTGACAATGTCGCCCTTAAAATAAGCAAAGATGACATGGACAAAAATAGAAAAGAAAAAACCAGACCAGAGTGGCATCAGCTTTTCTAGAATGGGTAGGCCTATTACTGAAGCACATCCACTGACTGCTGCTGCTGTGGTCGACTGTAAGAGAACTAGGTCTAGAGAGGGGTAATTGTGTAAAATTCGCCAACCTGGAAAGCGACATCAATATCGTCAGTTGAAAGGACGGGAAATGAATTATTAGGTATTACATTACTACAGAAAAAATCCACTTTTGTCTCCATTTTTTTGTGTTTTTCTTATGATTAAATTTTAAAAACAAAATAAACATCGTCTGCTTTCAGAATGTAAACATCCGGTGCAAATCATTAGCCAATGAAATCTCGTGAACTGTTCTAAAATTAGAAATAGTCTTGATTTTCAAGATTCAATCAATTGCCTACTTCCGCTTTCATATTGTAAACAAGGAATAAAGAACCAAAAAGACGTATTTCTACTCATTCCACTCTTATATTAGTAAAGATGTGTGAAGATTGCGTTAAGGAGGAATACCCGGACAGAGTAAGTATACGTTTAGGAAAATCTGTTAGAAACGTTCAATCACAACCACCTAGGCCCAGTTGTTTGTACTGCCAGTGATTGCAATTCCCTGTTTTCAGTTTCACTTGCTACAGTACAGCCACTGGCACTGGTATCATATATAGAAACATGAGACTCCGCATATTGACCGGAAAGGTTTCTAATGCCTGAGCTATCAGGTTCATTACCGTTAATCTTGGCCATAATTGGATCTTGTGTTTTGTATCTTCAATCAGGCATAGTCTACTACTGGTAGGGTACTGTGTTTATTGCTTTATTTGGAATATTTACTGAACCAAGATTTTTATTCAAATTGGAATATTAGATTTAAAATAGTATATAGAATTTTAGAGTTACCATATGTTATAGTGATACATTGGCGGTGGAAGCCTCCCATGACCGGTGGTACTGACTCAATAGGTGGACAGCTGTCTTGAGTTTAATTCAAAATGTGGCATAGAGGTTCTTCCAAACTTGAATTGATTTGAAGCATTCTTTTACTTTTTTTTGGCAAAAACGCATAAAAATCACATTTTTGAAATTTTGTGGGCAAAGCATTTTTCTTGATATACAATTTACTTTTATAATAACCACACTTGCATCCAGTAATGTTTTGAATACATATTATGTGTTGTAAAACTAAATTTATAACATTTTGATCTTCCAGGGGTCAACCTGTCTAGATAATGGATGTTATATGATGAATTATGCTGGATGTAGTCAATGTGGAGATAGATCAAAGCCGAAAACTGTTTGTAGAACCTGTGTTGAAAACGAGGAAGAAGAAGAAGTGATTACGTTTAAACGTAAGAAAAATTTACATTGCAGATAGAGCTGAGCTGAATTTCAGATATTCATGCAGTTTTAGGAAGGGAAATCTGATGAAATTTAATGAAAACATGCCTTCAGAAGACGAATAACAGTTGAGTGTCAATAATCTTATTAATTAAAGAAAATTACGGTACTCCTGTAATCTGTTATATGTATATATATTGCTTACAGGGAGAAGTGTGGCATTTTGGGGGGTTGATTTTAGTCTTGAATTTATGTTAATAATCTTCAAAAGTACTATTTATATTCTATACCTTTAACCATATAAATAGTTCATATCAATATATTTCAGATGTTTGTTCACAATGTAACCATAGTGTAGCAGACCATGAACATATTTTTCAAGTGTCAGGAGAATATCAGGTAAATGTTCCATTATCAAGTTTCTATTTTGTAGCCAATAAAGCGTTAAAGAGGCAGTATCAAAAACGTAAATTATGTATAAATTATGCCTGAAAATATTTCCAGTACATGTAAATGTTATTTACTTCTATGTATTTACCAGATCAAACTAAATTTGGTTTAAATATGTTGTATAATTTCAGCTGTATGAAATGTCTTGTATAATTTCAGATGTATGAAATGTCTTGTATAATTTCAGATGTATGAAATATGTTGTTAAATTTCAGCCGAATGAAATATCTCTTATAATCTCAGCTGTATGAAATGTCTTGTATATAATCTCAGCTGTATGGAATGTCTTGTATATAATTTCAGCTGTATGAAATGTCTTGTATAATTTCAGCTGTCTGTAATATTTTGTATAATTTTAGCTGTATGTAATATTTTGTATAATTTCAGCTGTATGTAATATTTTGTATACTTTCAGCTGCATGAAATATCCTGTATAATTTCAGCTGTGTGAAATATCCTGTATCATTTTAGCTGTATGCAATGTCTTGTATAATTTCACCTGCATGAAATATCCTGTATAATTTTAGCTGTATGCAATGTCTTGTATAATTTCAGCTGTATGTAATGTTTGGATAATTTCAGCTGTATGTAATATTTTGTATAATTTCAGCTGTATGTAATATTTTGTAAAATTTCAGCTGGATGTAATATCTTGTATAATTTTAGCTGAATGTAAAATTTTGTATAATTTCAGCTGTATGTAATATCTTGTATAATTTCAGCTGTATGAAATGTCTTGTATACTGTGTGGTAATGCTGATTCTCAGAGAAGTATTATGCCATGTGATCCTAGAGGACCTCAAATGAACAATGATTTTGCAGACTGACAATGATGACAGAAATTGTTGTACCAGCACAGTTTATATCAAGAGAAGATCAAGATCTATTGCCACTCAGAAACACTCTTTAGTACAGACTTTGTGCCTTGTGGAATATATTTTAAAACAGTGTGCAGACTGTGTTCACCAAATTTTACCCTCATGCCTCATGTCAATATTATCACTAATTGAAATAAAATTTAATTGAATCAATGGGTCTTTGTTGACATGTTATTTTAACTTGAAACCAGGGCCTGACTGATATTAATTGTTAAAGAAATCCACAGTGTGAGCATTGATATAGATCAGTCCAGATTGTGAGCACTGAACGGCATTGTTGTTGTTTCAGGCATTTTTTTAAGGGGTGGGGGTATCTTGCATTTCTTTGTTTTGAGATTTGTTAACGGAACTACAACACAATCATAATAGCAGAACATATATTAACTGTAAAATAATAAACATTATTCACATACATTATTCATCATACATTATTCACATACAATATTCACATACATTATTAATCATACATTATTCACATACATTATTCATCATACATTATTAATCATACATTATTCACATACATTATTCATCATACATTATTCACATACATTATTCATCATACATTATTAATCATACATTATTCACATACATTATTCAACATACATTATTCACATACATTATTCATCATACATTATTCACATACATTATTAATCATACATTATTCACATACATTATTCACATACATTATTCATCATACATTATTAATCATACATTATTCACATACATTATTCAACATACATTATTCACATACATTATTCATCATACATTATTCATCATTCACAATATCATATTGATAACCGCCATTAAGAGTGCAACGTTAAAAAAATGTCGGGACAAAGGCACTTGGCAATTTATTTTTACCCGACTTATGTCCATAACAGGGGAAAAACGAGTAGCAAATTCAATGGTACTATCTCAACTTCTGCCAGATTTTAGAGCTAGCAAGCAAGTGGCGAAATCGTCTCACAGTTGGAGGCTAACTTCACCAGAATTTTATCTTTTTTCGACACAAACATGGTATTTCGGGGTGGACATGCTGATTCCAAAATTACCATCAGTACTTAGCTCCTCGTTGCCATATTTGGTTATGTTGAATTTCTGTAGTATACACGTAAAAAACATGAACAGTTCCATCTTGGCCAAGGATTCTCCGGGGCAGATCCGGGGACCTGCGGAGAAAGGGATAAATGACGCTGGTTTTGTGATTTTACCGTTTGAATCCAGGAATCTCTCGGGTTTAAATCTAAGTGGATCTTCCCAATATTTTGGGTCGATGTGACAAGCATACATATTGGCATAAATGATCGACTCCTTGGGAATCAGATATTCTCCAATTTTGATGTCCTTTACGGCCATGTGTGGTATTGAAATAGCTACAGTGTTGCCAAGACGCTGAACTTCCAATATGGTAGCTTCTATGTAAGGCATTCGACTGTGGTCTGACCAAGATACCATCCGGTCAGTACCAATGACATCATCAATCTCTTGCTGGCATTTCTTCATCACTCCCGGATTCAAAAGCAAGTATAGGAACGCCCAGTCCAAAGTAGAAGCTGTTGTGTCCGATCCAGCTACGAAAAGGTCGAGGGTTGCCTTGAACTTGACTTTGTCGCTGATACTGCTGTCCTTATTCGCGAGACAGGCGTCGATGAAGTCTCGAATTTCATCGGGGTGCATGCTCTCCCTGTGATCTTCAAATCCTGACGAAATAAAAGCTCTAAGCTTCTTTCCGGCGTCCATGAATTTCATAACTCCCGGTAAAAACCTCATAATCGGAAACACATGAATGGGTGCGAAGAATCCTTCTCCTTTGAAGGAAAACCCGATAACCTTTAAAATATTGATAAGATGAGGATTGTCGTAATCAAATCTTTTGCCCATAGTTAATCCACAGATAATGTTAGTGGTCGCCTTGATCAACCAGTCTATCAATACGAGTGGTTTTCCTTCATCTCCCGACAAGATGTTAATCAAGACTTCAGCTTCTTCTTGAATTTTTTCTTCTAGACTAGATTTTCCAACACCAAGATCTCGGAGTGCCTGCAAAGAGGTTCTGCGAATCGATTTCCACGTTTGGCCGTTTGACCAGATGATTCCCGTTCCACCAATATCTGTTGACAATTTCACACCCCATAGTTTGTCCCTGGGTCGATCGGATACAAAATCCTTGTTTTTGACAAATAGTTCGTTGACGGAATCATATGAGTTTAAGACAATTGTCAACTGCGAGCCATTATAGATTCTCACTACGTCTCCATATTGACGAGCCAATTCCGAAAAGTACTTATGTTTCTTTTTCAGATTTTTACCTCTCAGATCTAAAGCATTTCCAAAAACTGGTAGAAATGGCGGCCCAGGTGGAATTCCAGAGATTTCTTTCTTGGAAAAGCAGTAAGCAGCTCCAAGAAACACAGTTAGTCCAATAAGAATTGTGTTTATGTCCGGAATATAGGGCAGAATCAAATCCACTAGACCCATTTTACAAAAATCTTCCAATTCAATCCACAAAATTAGTGACACGTATAAATGAATTTCACCAAAAGCACTGGTTGAAAAGCAAATTCCTTCCTTGAAATTATGTTACATTCGTGAATGATTCGCAATTTATGGTTTTGCACATATATATCCAATCTCAAAGGGAATGACTGCGCACTTCTTCTTTTAGCCGTGTAAATAGATATGAAAATCTCGTCGACAGAGATATTTCTGATACACCAACGGACGCGTTCTACAACCAAGTAATGAAAGTAAATAACTGTCGGAGGAAAGCCGAGATTGATAAAGCCCAATGACCTAATACACAATTAAAAAAAATCATTTATTGTCGGACGAATATGAATAACAGTGGATTTCAAATCAATTCCAAAATGCTTAGTAAACAGAACTAATATCCATTAAATAATAATATAAAAAAAAGGTTTTAGTCGGCCTACTGTGTGTAGTTTGTTTGCACATTCATTCAAATCAATAAAATCACAACACACTTGACGGTGTATCAGTTTTTCTAATTTGAGTTTTATATTTATAATCATTTAGGTTTATAAGCAGAACTTCAATACAAAGCACGTTTCAAATGTTGGGTTTGAAATTAATTAAAACAGAGACAGGCGTCTAGATATTTTTCAACTGATAGAGCTCGATTTCAGCTATCAATACCACAAGTAAGTTTAGTAACAGTATATCGCACGTCCAAATTCAAATATGAGCTAATAACTGATAGAGCCATCCGTATCACAAGTAAGTTTAATAACGGTATATCGCACGTCCAAATTCAAATATGAGCGAATAACTGATAGAGCCATCCGTATCACAAGTAAGTTTAATAACGATATATCACACGTCCAAATTCAAATATGAGCGAATAACTGATAGAGCCATCCGTATCACAAGTAAGTTTAATAACGGTATATCACACGTCTAAATTCTAACATGAGCTTATGTACGTTTATTTACAGACGTACATGGTGTTTGTTATCAACGGGTGCTGTTATTATATCAAAAACGCAAACCGCCATCCAGTAGTACTGCATATACGATACAATTTAAAAAAAAGTTAATCATATCTTTCACATATCAATTTCGATTACGTTATGTAATCACAATGTATATAATGCAACCATTAGTTGATTGAAGCTATTTGTGTAGATTAGAAATAATTACTTTGAAGGTCAAACTGTAAATAGGTTGCATGTGGTGTCTTTAATTTCCGACAACACCGACAGCTCATTTTGAGACTTGATTTTCGCGAATTGAAAAATACGTGTAACATATGCTATAAAAAGTTGGAATGTTCTATCAGGTATGATGAAACGAAACAATAGTTAAACTTTTGCTATTTTAAAAGCATATACTGACTTTTAAAAAATGACAAGATTCATTGCTTCGTTTCATCATACCTAATAAGAACAATCCAACTTTTTATTTTAGCGTCTTGAACACGTATTCTACAATTCCTGAATATCAAGTCTCAGCATGGACTGTCGGAGTAGTCGGCGGCTGTCAGATGATTTAAGACACCGGGTTGCGTGATAAAGCACAATTGTCAAGGTTCAAATTACCTGGTCGCGTGATATGTAATATACAAAGCTGTAAAATTTGCATTGTAACATAAAGTTCGAAGTCGAAAGGGTATGACAAGAATGATGTAGCAAATTGAAAGTGGACTGCGTCTAAATATGCCCACTTGGGTTAATATCACGGGGGTTAATGTTTTCAAAATAGATATTCATTTTATCTAGTTTGCATAATCCTAGCATTTTATTCCCATGGAGAGGGAGGCAATTTTTTAATAATCACTAAAATACCAGATTAACCGCAGACTACATCCGAGGATGTACAAAATGCCCTCGTTTGAGGCATCTGGAACTGCCCATGTGCTTCACAGCAGCCAGGACACAGGCAATGACATATACAGCCTGTGACGAAAGCTTTCTTAAGCGAAATTGCATGTTGCATGTTTCTGATGACGATACGCTTGTGATTATAGATAGATATATATTATAGTCTGCCCCAATGGTAGAAAAAATAACTCTGATAAAAAGTAACTTTAATAAACTAAGATGTTCATTAACATTAACAATACAAGAAATTTGTGCTTAAATGGCAACACAGTTTAAAGAGAGCTGTATCCTAAATATATTACTAATTTGAATTATAAATGCATTATAAAACGACATTTTCTTTTCATTATCGATTCTCACTTTTGCATTGTCGCAAATAAGTTTTGAAACGGATGTGACGTTCACCTAAACAATAGTTGTGGAACTCTTTCTCATATGTGTAATATGATAACCATCTGGAATACTAATCAAGGCACATACTGCTCGAAAATAATTCAACGTGGAAAGTCAAAAATTTTCTACCTTCATGAAGATAACTCTTCTTCACTGGGCTATAAAAATTAATATGATAAACGAAAAAAGAAAAATTTTCAAAGTACACACAAATACATTGACAAAGGCTATGACATAATAGCCTAAGTTACAAAGGATGTACGCCTAAGTTACAATCTGAACCCATGCACCAGTAGACTCAGAAGCCACACTACGTTATGGTTCAATTTCACCACTCATCGATCGCATAACATCATCACACCTTTCGCAGACTAGAGCAACTGCGATCAATTGGACGGTCACATTTGTCAAACGTTCAGATCGGCGACCAGAGGTAATACCAGTTGCTATCTGTTGCTGCAATTCCAGTAGCTTTCAGATTCAGGTCAAACGGGGTTCACCTTAACTGAATAATACATCCTTTATATGTTAAAGTGTCGATCGGCGGGTTTAAAATGTTAAGAATTTTGGCACAAATATTTCCAACTCTATCACAGATGAATGTTCATATCAAAACAAAGTTTATATATAAAATATGTCCATAGTATGTAATGGTTACAGCCAAAAAGTGCAGTATATACACAATTCTCTATCCTTTGGGTTCTTACTCCCCATAACTTCGGCAATTTTCTTCATTCAATGTACTTCCTTGAAAAAGGTTTTTATAATAGTTAAACTTTGAATCTATCCAAAATCACACATTGCCTTTATTGCAGATTTAGCAGGAGGGCAAATGCTTCTTGCAGCTTACAAACAGGCGCTATTGAGTTTTTTGGTAAAGCAATACAAAAATACCCTTCTACCGTGATTGGGAATTATTTTTCAAGTCAGTTCTGCCTGCAGCCAATATCTTGTTACAAACTGTTGAAGCTGTCCAATGTGCCTTTATTCTTTAGCTTTATTCTAGCTCTAAGAATTGTTTATAAATGTGTACACTCTATAATTTGTTTGTTACTTATTTGAGGTGATGAGGTAATTTCCGGTAATTTGGCAGCACTGAGTACCACTACTTTCTCAACCGAACCTCGTTTAGTAGCTAATCCAGTTTTCAGTAATTTGTCTTTAATACCATTTTCAACTAAAGCTTGAAGATTCGATAACTCTCCCTACAAAAACAAAGGAATATTTTGTAAAATGTAATCGTTTGGTTAAAGATGGGTTTGCTTATTTTTTAGTGTCAATATAAGCAAACTATTTTATTAATTGTCGCTTCTAATGAATTATCATGTATTCTTAATCATATCATTATTTTCTTATATAATTTAAATTTTAACCAATCATAAATGTCCATGTATGTACAGTCTGGATAAACAAAAAAAGACTTTTTGACCTTTTTTGATCGGTCACTCATTGGAATTCTGGTGGTAATTCTCTTCTAATTTAGTTAATTATGAATTAATTATGGACATGTGAGACAAACTGGTATTTTTTCCAAATTATTACAACACATCTACTTTCTATTCGTATAAGTATTAGCATTTTGATTTCCATATATGAAAATGAGGGAACCCATCTTTAAATGAAATGTTTTTTATTCTTTCTCGAGTAGATATCGTAACTTAACCAAACGAGAATCATAATAGACAAAGGGTTTTGCTCACCATTATCCTCTCTGACAAAAGTGCATCTATATACCATGTATGTATTAAATGGTACATGATCCTATGCCATTTCATTCAAATCGATTAGTATTTTATATTGCTCAGACACAATTACAATTAAGAAAAAAGCTGGTGTGATTGAGATTGAGGTATGAGAGAGCTCTATTACATTAGGACACACAACATCACCACTAGATCTCAATCCAGCTTCTTACGGGGAGGAGAATGGACAGAATTTAAGTCAGGATTAAGCTTACCTCCATTCGTTTAAAATGTCGCTGATTCACAACTTTAGATGCTTTCTTTAATAATACATCGGTAATATATTTTATAACTAATGCTAAATAGGCCAAACCAAATAAAATCCACACATAGGCTAATATCGTGTAGACATCCTTTTCTGGACCTTTAGTTGAACTGTTGGTATGTGTCGCTAAAAATAAAACACACCATAGTGTTAACCAATTCTAATAGTGACTAAGCTCAATGGCAAACAATGATTCTGTAATGACTTTGTCAAGCCTACAACCCCGTTTCTAAAACAAAATCCCTTATTGTGCACGTACTCATGAAAACATGGCGTTAAATTGAAATCCTCTTCAAATCATTCGGGCTACACCAGTTTTGATGCAAATGGTTGCCCTGACAACTAAGTTTCAGGTGGACCGACATAATCGCTTGCCAGTTAATGACTGCCAGGAACTGATACAGGACCAGGAAGATATTTGATCTTATATGCTGCGTGCATTCTCCGAAAGTATGTCAAATTTCAGAGTAGCGTCAGGTGCTGTTGTTATAAATAACAGCACTGATTCTTACCTATTATGTAATCACCAAATCCTATCGTACTTAAAGTAATAAAACAGAAATATAATGTCTCTAAGAAATTCCACTCCTCGACTATGGTAAATATAAAACCTGGAGCAACAAACATTAACATAACTCCAAATAACACAATTAATAACATATTAATAGATTTGTTGATGGAAGGCCGAGATTTCGAGCATAGTTTCAGTTTATTTATTTTGGCGAACACTGCTGCAAGTTTTTCACCCAATGCATTCAGTAATATTAAGGTGATTGGAATTCCTATTAACGCGTAACCGACTGTGGCTGCTTTCCCTGATAACGTGTACGGTGCCATATTACCATACCCTGAAAAGAGATATTTTAATATTGAGCCTTTATGTTTACTGGAATAAAGAAACGACACTTTATGTAAAGCCAAAGGCACGAATGCTGATACACTCATTTAGCTCACACAAGAAATATGAAAATTTTTGTTGCTAATGGGAAACAACCCTAAATCGACTATTTACACAAGATTCAATGGAAGAGTATCGATAAGTAAACGTACCAACCGACCGACCAACAGCACACAATAGCAGTGGCGGAGCCTCACCCTCCTCGCAGCTCTGAAAGCGTATTTTTCGGTCAAAACTGTCATAACTCCCTTACCTATGGTAGTAACAACAGAAACCGCAAATGCAAAGGCACCGCTGAAATCCCATCTATCTACACGGGTTTCGTTCTGTAGAGCAAAATGCACTAACACACTGTCTTCTGTAGCTTTAGTTAACAATCTCTGTAGTTCGTCTACAGTCACACAAGAATGGTTTGCTGAAAAGGAAACAACAGTTTATTTCAAATTTCACCAGTAAAAGCTAAATCCTTTGTGCTACATTTTCTGCAGATAATAACCATATGTTTCGCGAGTGGCCGTTCTGTTTTAGAAACGTTTGAAGATGAATTATAATCTGGGATATAAGAATTATCATGCTATGTCATTATACCTAACGCTGTTTATATGTAGATTTCTGTTTATTTGTAAATTTCTGTTTATTTGTAGATTTTTTTGCCTCATGTAAAATACTGACCCAATTTCATTTTTCAACCTTTTAGCTTTAAAGGCGCATTCAACCTATTTTGTAGATCGAAAATTTTTTTGTTCAAATTTATGATAACTATATAGACCACAAGCTGGTGAAACGTGTCCCTTAATATATCTGAAAATTTTAACTAAAAAATCCAGCCGTTAATTTTTATACGCCAAAACCATTTAAAAACATTACGTAAGGTTTTTAAATTCGTTATGCTTTTTAAGAAAGCTTTTCTATGGATTTAAACCAAATAAAAGCATAATTGTAGAGAAATACGTCTCCTACGTATTCTAAAGGTTTCAAAAGCCAAACACCAAAACTAGATCAAACTGCTTAATTAACAATAAGTACTCTCCGTTTTTGATCAACCCTTAAAAAAGCGGAATGCCCCTTTAAGCTTTGAATTCACGCTGTGATTAGAAATATCACGGGTGTCGATATTTTGACTCGCAACACTTATTTTTTTGTCTCCACTGTTATTTATTATGTTATTACTTATTTATAATGACACGTTATCATATTATAAACCAATGATAGTAAATCAAGATAGTTTCCCACGATTCAATCTGACTGTTTAAATACTAAACAGACGTTTTAAAATTCTGACATGTTGTGAGTGAAATACTCAAGATAGTGTTGAGTGATCGTTTGATCTTTTGTTGTGGTAAGTTTTAAAAATAATGTGCATATCAATCATACACGAGTACATACTTCCCGTATGTAAATTTAAATAATCAATAACTAGGGTAATGAAGCATGTACGACTGCTTAATAAGGTTAATGGAGAACATGCAGTGAGCAATATTGATCATTATTATTTTTTTTTGTTAAGACTCCATTTTAACAAGACTGTTAACTTTGCACTACGTTTGGGCGAGCCAAAAAACGCTCAAATTATTGTAGCCTGAACCCAAAAAGAAATCACGACCCTTGTGCCATCACTGTATAAGAAAAACATTGTCTTTTTTTTGTTACCCCTGCCCCATCCCTGTTTAATCTGCGACCAGCGATGTACCACCAACAAACTCATCGTTCCATGCATTATAGGTTATTATATTATATTATATTATAATATTATATCATAATTATTTTTTGAAAAAGTCGATGTTATTACCTCCACATATGATGGGGTCCAGTTCCGGAAGGCTTGCGTTACACAGATTGAAAGTCGGTACAGATTTTATAATTAGAAATAATATTCAACTTATCGATTACTATGATTAAATTAAAAATGTGTGTCCACCTGTTGCCATTAGAATACAGGTTTAGGGTAAAATATACAATACCATTTGGAAAATAACAAATAGCATTATACAACAATTTTAGTGTTCTTTGTTGGGTTCTGCAACCTGGTATTTCGGAATATTTTATAACAACTTAATGTTTTAATCATCAAAGTATCTTAAACATGTACTCTTATTCAATTCAATAACAATAATAATTCATTGTATTAATCTAAAATATACTTTACATTATTGGGATAAGCGTATCAGAAAGGTCATTACATTCACCATTTTTTGGGTCAGATATGAGTTTCATTGAAGAATACTTGTGCAGTGATACACAAGTTCTCTTGAAAGGGTAAGGGGCGATTCGTTTCTTAATTTTCCGAAAATATAACGGTGAAAAGTTTCTTTTAAAAAGGTCGAAATACTTGACAGAGTGGAAAAATCTTAAATTTATTCAAACATTTACAAACAAGACAGTTAAAAATAAATTTATAAAATCTCCATAAATTGAAAAAATAAAGGGTTTAATAAGAGCAACCTTTTAAATCCGGTTAGAGGTAGGGTTTGACTTCACACATACAAACAAACCAACACATCCTTGGTTCCGTAATGTACAGTTAATGTGGGTCATTTTTGAAAGGTAATTAACTTCAACAGATAACAGATACTTGATAAAGCTGTAATTTTCTATCAGTAAATCAGTTATTGCTCTATGATTCATGAATAGAATTGTATCACTATACATTAATTGAATCAAGGAGTGTTAATTATATTGAATATCAAATGACATATGGCCTCTCTGTGCTATGGTATCGAAGCCCGTAGCCAGAAGGCAAGATATATACCCGGAGTGGCAATGGTGTATGGTGTTTAGTTGCAGTAATGGAGTTGGGTAGTTTTTCACAGGGGCAATCCATTTAATGCCCCCTCTCCCCAACTCTTGCTATGGGCCTGATGGGAGGATTTAGGTAGGGGGTTGAGGCACTAGTCATCTAGAATTTAGTCATAGTAGTTTAGTCACAGGGTAAGTTGATTACAATAAACGATCGAGTACCATAACAATAAAGAGTGAAGTTCATCCGAATAACCCCACCGAATGCATCAAGTTTTGCTTCTACACACATTTTTACGGATATAATTTGCTGCATTGATTTCGAAATTGCAGGTAACTGATCCACTACAGAAGGTGTGAAATGAAAGTATTTGCTTTAAGTATGAGAGTGTCTGGACAACAGTTTCAAAATCTATTGTGCGATTTTGTCCGAAAATCGCAATAAGTTATTTAGACTAGATCATTTAGACCGGTTTGTGACAACTTACCTAAAAATCTAATTAAGTAGGCATCCAACGAGTGTTGACGGTCTGTTTCTGCCGAGCCTTCCAACATCCTAAACATTACCGAACCCAGACTAAGATATATCACTAACAAAATTATTAATAGAAACAGCTTTTTACCATCCATTCCATCCATTGTTAATGATTTTTAAGTACCAAATCCTTTTGGAATTAAGTACTGAATATTCCAGGTTTGTGGTTTAAAAGACTCTAAGTACCGCGTCCTTCTTGACTTGAAACAAAACTATCACTCACACATACTTTTGGTTTTCGTCACAATCTAGTCTTTTATTAACTCAAATGAGTAATATGACTGATGAGAGTTGGGTATCCAAAATGAGTTACTTGCTCAAAATAAATAATGTCAATTTGTTCCTTCATGTAGTCATTCTTGAAAATCGCCCAAAATCTTCGTTGGCACGGTTTTGCTTATCCTATTAATCCAATGGAACTACATTGTCATAAATGCTCTGATTTTTATATATATCCAACACTGCCGCACGAGTTACACAATCTAAATTCCAATCATTAGATAATTCACTTTGAAAATCACACACAGGCTATAATGTTCATGTCAATATCCAAGATTATGTTTATGTTTATCCGAAACCGTTTACATTCACACAGTAGCCTTCGGTTATGTTCTTGGTGGGTGAACCAGTTAAGTTGAACTCTAAAATCCGTCTGATTGTTATTTTTAGAGCCAATATACCATGTGAACAATATTTTACACCCAATATAACTACGAGTTTCACAATACACTATTCGTATCCAGGATATAGCACTTTGTCCGTTCATTCATTCATAAATATTACAATTATTATACTCTACGCCTATAAATACACTGTGACATTTTTTCCGAATTACTATTGAGCCGATAACAATTGGTTTAATGTCATAATGCTCAAACTCAATAACCGCGAATTGCCTAAGCGTAAAAGCCTATATATTATATATCAGTAACTCAGCACGCCGTCTATCCCGAAGCATATTGAATGCAGACACTCGGGAGTTGCAGTAAGTGTTCATGCATCAAAGAGCACAATTTATCCTGAACTTCTTTAACCTGAAATATATGAAATTCTATTTAATCAGTGATAAGGAACGGTTCTGTATACATAGTTGACTAAGTAGTTTGATAAGAATCGATGTAAAGAGAACCATGTGAGTAACTTCTGAGGCTGCAGTGTCTTGGAGGCAGTCAATGCTCAAGATCAAACTTTAGAAATTCAATTATATGTTTATATCTGATTTATCCCATTTTAACTTTAATTATACTTCGCCTTTGCCGTGTAGTTTGCAAAGATGACAGCTATTGTCGGAAGGCCCTATCACTGCCCTTTGGGTAAACCTCTGGACAGTAGCGGAGGTAGGTTTACGTACGTTTACGTACTAACACACTGTCTTCTGTAGCTTTAGTTAACAATCTCTGTAGTTCGTCTACAGTCTAAAACCAGTCTAAAACTGGTTAAAATAGTGTTCAATACATCAATTGACGAGCGATATAGAAATATTAGCAATAGAACTTAAAAAACACGTTGTCGTTACTCAGAGTTTCACGCAAAGCGATCCCAAGACAACCGCATAGAGTGAACTCTAAGTAACAAGACGTTTTTTAGGTCCTGTTGTAATATTTCTAGTTTATCCAATTGGGTAAAAGAGGTGTTCTTATGACTTGGAAAAATACCAGCTTGTCCTACATGTCCATAATTAATTCATAATTAGATGAGAATTACCAGCAGAATTACAATGAGTGACCGATCAAGAAAGGTCCAAAAAGTCTTTTTTTGTTTATCCAGACTGTACATACATGGTCATTTTAGATTGGTTATGATTAGTTTGCTTAATTTGACCCTATAAAAATAAGGAAACCCATCTTTAACTTTAAATATTGCCTGCATACATCACACACGTCCTATACCATTTCTGAAAGCTCAATTCAATATCACGTATTTAAAAATGAAACAATCCCTGAAATGTACCTTCCAATTAAAAATCCAAACCTGATCACTGACGATCGTGTAATATCCGAAATGCGTTTCATTTACCTCACGAGAGGTTGCCCGAATTTCTAACCTAGTTATGAGATTTTTGCCCGAAAAACTTTGTTTTCGGGATTGCGAGGGGGTGGGAACTGTCCCCTCTGCCCCCTCAGCCCCCGCTACTGGGCATTGATTCCTTCCGGATTATCCATACACATTTATAGCAGTGACTGGAATAATGAGAAAATATGATTCTATTATTGAAGGTTGTATGGTACATGCTTTATAGCATCCATATGCCTCGATATACATTTAGATTTATGTGATAATATATTTATATCTATAAGTCGTATATACGCATATTCGTCGCAAATTTATAGCACAAATTAATGAGGTATCCATATATAGACTACTCCAGCAGAGAGACGTAAAAATTGAAAAATTTCAATGCACTTGAAAAATAATTATCACAAAGACCCATTTAATTGATACATAAAGTTTATCGGCAACTCACAGCGTCTTGAAACTAATTACTGTACATGATTAGTAAACGTAATGCTTAACTGCCAATTATTTCTAACAAATTTGAGACCAACATGTTAAAAAGGCCGCGTGACGCATAGAAGAATGATGCACTCATGAGTTATAACAAAGACATTGGTTGCCAATAAAGTTTCAGTGTACATGATATATCACATTGTTATGTCACATAATGATTAACTTACGACGCGAGAATCAATTTTTCACACATTTCTAGACACACAAAGCATAAAAAAAAACTTGAAAAATAGATATTCATATTATTTTCTTTAGACTTCGAAATAGATTCAACTCATGCTTGCCTTATTGCGTTTGTCGAGTTTGACGATTTGGATAGGTAAATGTTTCTACCAATTACCTAATGCAAATTCCTCAAATAGCATAATTATGCAAATATTCCTTAGGTTATAGACACTTGGTGGATTGCATGCAATACGAAATGTGTTATAAGTTGAATGGTATATCCAATTAATAATAACGGAAAATTCTCAAGGTTAAAATAGTGTTCAATACATCAATTGAAGAGCTATATAGAAATATTAGCAATAGAACTTAAAAAACACGTTGTCGTTACTCAGAGTTTCACGCAAAGCGATCCCAAGACAACCGCATAGAGTGAACACTAAGTAACAAGACGTTTTTTAGGTCCTGTTGTAATATTTCTAGTTTATCCAATTGGGTAAAAGAGGTGTTCTAATGACTTGGAAAAATACCAGCTTGTCCTACATGTCCATAATTAATTCATAATTAGATGAGAATTACCAGCAGAATTACAATGAGTGACCGATCAAGAAAGGTCCCAAAAATCTTTTTTTGTTTATCCAGACTGTACATACATGGTCATTTTAGATTGGTTATGATTAGTTTGCTTAATTTGACCCTATAAAAATAAGGAAACCCATCTTTAACTTTAAATATTGCCTGCATACATCACACACGTCCTATACCATTTCTGAAAGCTCAATTCAATATCACGTACTTAAAAATGAAACAATCCCTGAAATGTACCTTCCAATTAAAAATCCAAACCTGATCACTGACGATCGTGTAATATCCGAAATGCGTTTCATTTACCTTTATCTAAAGTTTATATAACAATCTTCTACTAATTTTAAAGTTGTCCAATAGCACATCCAAACTCATTACAATATCAAATTCTACTCAATATGGTTCCATAACAAATTACTCCGTCCAAGATGTAGAACCTACCATCAGCATTTCAATATGAAATCTAGAGTACATCAGTACACTATATCAGTACCTCATAATCTGAAAGTTGCTATCAATTCCTGCTAAGTATGAGATGGAAGCCTATAGCTAAGTTAATACGACATGATATAGCACACACGAACTCATTACTCTCGTTCTTGATTAAAAGCTATCTCTTAATAGCCCATAAAGAGTTCGCGTAAACTAAGAAAATATTCTACTCTATTGAACATCTATAATCACTTTTTTTTTAGAAAAACTACCTTCTCGATCGTTTTGTACCCTTTCCAATAGTTTTACCTTTTAATATGCAACATAACAAAATTTTATCGAATTCGCTGTCTATAGTTGAAGCAAAACCTATGATATAGAGCATGTTTCTGCAATTAGGAAAATTCAATCGGTTTTATTTCTTTTAATTCAATTGACTGGCTTAGCAAATTGAAAAATCTATATTCAATTGGTTGACTACAATTTCAATTATGACTGAACGGCATAAATACATCAGCAGTCAACAAAACTAAAATTGTTAATAGAGTAAAATGTAACTGACTGTGAATAGAATAAATACAACTGAGTGTGATTAGAGTAAACACAACTGACTGTAATAAATAGAACTGACTCTAGTTAATATACCTGATTGTAAATACATGTAGAGTACATCAGATGTATTTACTCTATTCTGACTGTAGTAAATACAACTGACTGTAAATAGAATAAATACAACTGATTGTGAATAGAGTAAATACAACTGACTGTGAATAGAGTAAATACAACTGACTGTAATAAATAGAACTGACTGTGAATAGAGTAAATACAACTGACTGTGAATAGAATAATTACAACTGACTGTAGTAAATAGAACTGACTCTAGTTAATATACCTGATTGTAAATAGAGTAAATACATCAGATGTATTTACTCTATTCTGACTGTAGTAAATACAACTGACCGTTAATATAGCAAATACAACTGACCGTTAATATAGTAAATACAACTGACAGTTAACATAGTAAATACAACTGACAGTTAATATAGTAAATACAACTGACTGTGAATAGAGTAAATACAACTGACTGTGAATAGAGTAAATACAACTGAGTGTGATTAGAGTATACACATAGAGTAAATATCACTTGCTGTGAATTAGATTTTCTTCGGGAAATCCGTTTTGGGCTGTATTCATATTTAAGAGTCATTCTTATTTTGGCCGTGTTTTAAGATATATTTTTTAGTTCAACCAAGTCGCAGTATAGACGGTATAGATCGGTTCAAATTTACCTTTCCAGACATTGTTCAAGTTCCACGTGTCTTATCAGACAAACAAAAGTCTGTTAAACCGCTTTAGATGTCTGTAATGAATAAATGATACAGGTAATTAACAGTAGACAATGCCA